GTTTCAAAGCTGTTATCAGAGCCAGGCTCCTCTGAAACCTTGGGGAGAGTCCTTCCTTGCCTCTTGTTTCTGTTTGCTGGCAATCGTGGCTTGCCTTGACTTCTGGAGGCATCACCCAATCTGCCTCTGGCATCACACAGTTGTCTTCTCTGTGAATCTATTGTCCTCTTGCTATTAGGGCACCTATCATGTTAAATAACAGCATACCCTACCCCAATATGAGCTCCTCTTAACCAGTTATTTCTGCAACAAACCTGTTTCCAATTAAGGTCACATTTGGAGTTACTAGTGGTTAGTCCTTCACATATCTTCTTGGGGGATACAATGTAGTCCATAGTGTAAGGTAAACAGAACCAGACCAGGCAAGTGGCAACAAAGGAGCCAAAAAAATTTTATTAGCACAATCCTGGGAGAGGTTCACTGGTCCACGGGCCAGGGAAGTCGCGCCCAGAAGGAGGGGTGACAGGCTTAACAAGGGAGCTGGGAGAGCCCTGAGGGTATTATAAACAGAACTAATTGACCACTGTGGGTGTCGTAATTACCAATGATTGGTCATGCTGGGTTGCTGGGGGAAGAATACTGTGAGGTGTGTTCTAAGCAGAACCTGAGGCTAGGGACCTTCCGTTGAATCACCTGAGTGACATTCGTGGTTCTCTTCCTTATTTGGCTCCAGTTGGGTTCTTCCAGTGAGACCCGTCCCTTCCTCCGGTACCTCCAGTACCTCCAGTCTTACACATAGCTGGAGCTGATGTAAGTTTAATCAGGGTGGTCAAGAAAGGCCTGTCTGTGGGCAACACCTTTAGGTGTGTATTTGAGACAAAGAACGCAGTGGAATGGCTATGGCCAGGGTTGCTCAGTATGCAGAGCAGCCTTCCTGGGAGGTAGGCCTTCGCGCTTTTGGGGAATTCAAAGTCCACTTTGTCTGGCACCGGAGAGCAGCAGAAAGAGGGCCAAGATGAAGTCAGAGACATAGCACACGGCAAGTTCATGGGAGCCTTGTGAACCAGCACAAGGGCTTGATTCTGAAAGCTCAGGAATGCTTCTCTGGGGTATCCCCGCTTTGTGCCTCCCAGCTGCTTGGGGCATAGGCTGGAGATCACAGGTGTACACGAGGGGAGACAGCTTAGAAGCTCAGACTCATTCAGGGATATCTTCTATCTTTCTGATTCTTCAGAGAGAACAAGAGTGAGAGAGACAGAAAACCTGCTTCTCCCACCTTATGTAGGTAGAAAGAGAAGAAACAAGGATGTGGAAGAGACAGAGCCTCAGGAGGAAGGTGACCAAGCTTGGGAGGACTTGCCCCCTGAGGACATGGTGTGGCCGTGTGAGTGGTTGGAAAAGGGATCCTGGACGCCAAAATCTTGGTGTCCTGCGATTTTTCACAATGCCGTGGAGCAGGATACGGCCTTCTATGGGATGGCTGGGATGTGACAGAGAAAAAAGTCATTGGGGATAAGGAGACCATGGAAATAAATAAGAGAGCAGAGATTGGGGTGAATATTTCAGGTGTCACTGGGCCCAGGTGAACTGGAATACCATCGGACCCGAAGCATGGAAGGTGGTGGATGACCCAAAGGATGGCACGATAAGGGAAGAGGATGACTTAGTTCAAAGGGAGGCAGGCTTTTGAAGCCAGAGGGGGAAGATAAGGCTCAGAAGAGACAATGCACTGAGATCAGGGTGATAATGGGGCATGAGAGGAAATCTATCTCTGGGAAGATGAGATGCTGCAGAGAAGCGGGGGCCAGCGTCGGCTCTTCATTAGGGCAAGAGTGTGGTGGACTCTCCCACACAGTAATTGAGGAATTAGAGACACTTGGTGAATATGGCACAGGTGTCTATAGGTACAGTGAGGGTTTGTGGAGGAAGGCAGGCGAGGGATTTGATGGGCTGGATCCATCCAAGAGGTGTGCAGAGCACAGTGTGTACACACAGTAGCATTTTATGGATATAATCATTTGTATGTGTTTGCTAATATTTCAGCAGACCAAAAGAACTAGGTCAACCTTAGATAAGGCAGGGATGAGAAACTCTGAGATTTCAGAGAACAGATGTCAGCGTTAGCATCTGTGTAGCCTGGGAAGCTGAAAAGATTAAGAACATTTAGCAAGCATGGTGCCTTGTTCTCATTGGGGCACACATGGTATCAAGGGGGAGGGGAGAAGAGAGGCAAAGCCTCCTAAGATTTAAAGTCACCTCATACAGTTGGATAGACCCTGAAGAAATTATTTAAAATACAGAATCAAGATTAAAACCAATGGGATAACAAAGAACCTTTATGCCTCAGATTCTTCATTCACAGGAAATTGGTGCCATTCTTTGCAAATAATCCCTGGCTACTAAGGTGGGTGCTGGGGTCGCTGCCACGTCCATGCTCGGGGCTGAAGCTCTTCATCTTGGTGGCTGGGTGGTTGCTGTTAAAGGCTCTCGGCTGCCTCCTTTCCTGGGAATTGCCCTCCAAGAGGACCTTGGGGGAGGACAGCACACAACAGCGACTCATGTGCAGGTGGCTCTCAAAGTGGGTCAGCTCTGAGGAGCCAAGCCAACTTCAGAGCTCTTATTTTGAGGCAAGTGAATTTGTGGTAAAAAGGCAAAGAAAAACTGCATTTACTTCCTCTTGTGAGAAACACACTCACTGGTCCAAATTGAATTAAGTGGACACAGAGACAGAAGAGTGGAGCGAGGCTTTAATGAAGGTCTTGCACGGGTGCCTGGTGGGCAGGCACACCTGAGGCGATTGGCGCCAGTAATTTACCTCCTAGTACGCGAGTCCCTTCCCTGGTTACTCATTGGCTGAGTACTACAGGGTTCACATTCTTTCCCTGAGGGCGCCTAGGCCAGTTATATCTTTCCTTTACATTTGTCTTAATCTTATTGGTAGGTTTAAAAAAACTCCCAACAGGTATAGCCAGGCCCTTATCAATTCCCACCGCCCTCTCAGCCTGAGCAGCTTCCACCACGTGGCCCTTTGTTAATATCTTACTGTTAAAATGTTTTAAACCTCCTGGTGGGAATAAATCACATTTAGGTTTTATGCTGTTTTCTAACACTCTCTATTGTGAGAAGCCTTTATTTCCTTGGACGTGAACTTCCCTTTCTCCAAGCTGATGTGCAAATCTTACTGCATTTCAGAACTGAGACCTTAGTTGGAGGATCTAGTCTGTCCAGGTAAAGGTGGAGTGATTCCATGGGGAGAACATGGAGGCAGGAGCTTGAGCTGAAGAGGGCCAGCCCTGGAGGTGCGCATCCTGCCTGCTGATCAGACTGCTGGTAGATGGGGTGTCCTGGGCCATGGCATCCCATACTCCACCTTATGAGGGATGGCTGCATGGACAGGTTCTAGAGGGTGTGATGCTAGGAGAATCTGCAGGACCAGAAATATCTGGGGGAGGGTGGTGTACTGCTCCCCTGAGCACATCCTGCCAAGATGGTACCCTTTCAGAAAGTTTTAAGGTGATATGTTGATGTGGCATTTGTTAAAAGTATAATAAAAAACAAAGTTTAGTGCAATAGGTTTTTAATTCTACTATACCCCATTGGAACCATCTGGATTGTTTGCTAAAACACAGATTACTGGGCCCCACCTTTAGAGTTTCTGATTCAGTAGGTCTGGGGTGGGGCTGAAATTCAAACTTTAACAACTTTGATTGATGCTAATGCTGCTGGTGCCCAGAACCACTGTCTTAAAGAAAACAGGAGAGAAGTTGAGACAATGAGACACAGAAGTAACACAGTCCAAATGTGTATCTTTTCATAATGTTTGCTTGCTCAGCAGCCAGCTAGGGTGTCTCCTGCCTTATCGCTCATCTGGTGCCCCTGAGACTAGAATTTGACTCTGCCCCTTCCTTGATGGTGTCTGGCACTCTGTGGACCTGTGGACCCAGGTCCTAAATGGAGCATCTGGCCCTCACACGGACCGTGCTGGCCTGGGGGAGGCAGCGTGGATGTGTTTGCTTGTGCACTTTGTGTGGTGTACAAAGGTTACCTGCTGGATTCATCTGATGCCCCATTCACTCTGCTGAGAGACACTGGCCTAGCTTCTCACCTCCAACAAAATTGGCATTAAAAAGGAGTAAGTTATAATAGGGAGAATAAATCTTCCTCAAACCTGTAGTTTAAATGTGGATTAATGTTATAGGCAAGCATGGTAAAAATGTTAGCAGAGAATTATTAGCCATAAACCCCATTTCTTGCTGATTCACCTGTTTTTGACCAATGCTTCTTTGACAAAACTGTCTATCAATGTCGGAAAATAAAGCTGGTTATTTCCTTGAAACGCTATTTCCTGTGAAACTGTTTAGTGAAAAGGCAGTTCTAGCCCCAGCTTGCGGATGGTGGTTTTGTCACGGAGCTGTTAAATTAGAATGTGTTAGTCTGCACTGTGTGGTCGGCTCGTGGGCATGGCCCCATTTCGTCTGCCTTCTAGAATAGGTTTTTAATTTAGTATCTAGTTACTGAGAGGAAGGTTTATGTGGTTCGTAGTAATTATAGTTGGTAATGTGAATAATCTAAAAAGAATCCGGGCTACCTTCAATGAAATTATTTTAATTCATTGAATTCTCAGAAAATTCCAGTCCTGCCATCTATTCCAGGAGCATGCAGTAGGTGGCATCCAAGAGCTCTTTGGAGGCAAGCAGGCGCCATTTAAACAGGAGCCGCCGCGCTGCAGTCGTTGGCACAGCTCCGAAGTCAGAGATTGGAGATTGAAGAGGAAGGCGGAGGAGGAGCAAGGCCGGAGGAGCCGGGGCTGGGTGGCGCAGGTGCGCGGGGTCGCGGGTGTAGGGGCCGCCGGGCGCAGGGACTGGGGACCGAGGGCCGGTGCGCCGGTTGGCGGGGCGCAGGTGCGGAGGGCGAAGGGCGCTGGGCAGTGTGCAAATGCACCGGGCGCGCAGGCGGGCAGGGGGTGCAGGTGTAGGGCTGAGGGGTGGGGAGAGTACTGGCGGGGACGCGGGAGCGCAGGTGCACGAGGGCGTACGGCGGTGAGCGTAGGGGAGGGGGGCGCAGGTGCACGGGGGCGCGGGGCGCACGGCAGGCAGCTGACAGCCTCGTCACCGCGGCGCGAGGGCGCGCGCCCCGCCTGCCTCCGGGAGGAGCTGCATCCGCACAGCCTGCGCTGCCCGTTCCTGTGCGAGGCGAGCTGGGAAGGAGCGCTGAGCAGAGTTGTGCTCTTCATCAGGTAACTGATTTCCTCTCCTTCGCTGTGGCTTGGCTGCGACGCCTCGCGGCTCTGGGCGTTCAGGTTTGCGAGTCCCTGCAAAGGGGTTGCCGCCTTCGGGGAGCGCGAGACCGAGACGCTAATCCTGGAGTTGGTCGGGAAAAGGCTGCCTTTCTGCGTTCTTGTCAGGGAGGCTGAGACTTCATACCCTTCTCTAAAACCTGCTCTTTAAAAAACCTGTGTCTTGCACCTTGTGTGGGGATTCCTTCCAAAACAGCAGTTAATGTTTTAGAAGATTCTTGGTGCAGGTGTGTCTCTCAATGAGGAGGTTGAATTGATGAATTTAGGAAAGTCCAAAAAAGATGTGGTACAAAGTGAGAAAAATGCGAAGCACGTTGGAGGCTGTGTTTGTTTGGCACGTTTGCATTTCCTCACCAGACCGCAGCCCTTCGTGGGCCTGGCTGAGACTTGGCGAAGTATTTTATTTATCTTTTTAAAGCATGTAGTTCATGATATCGACAGTGTTCCTACCTGTTTCCTTGTTGTAAGAGCAGAGGCTAGGACAGGTGCCACGTCCGTCCAGTTGTAAGAATGTGGTTCCCGTAAGGTGACAATTATTTCTCTCAGATTCCAGGCTACCCTGCAAAACACCGCTGGCTTCTCGTCAAGCGGGAATCTGCCTGAGTAGTCTGTCCGGAAACAGGCTGTTTTCCCCTTTAAAAATCCAATTCATATTCTAAGGGATTTGGTAGACAAACTAGGAGCTCTGAGAATGATGGTTACATCCACTGAACAGTGAAACGCAACGTTGTCCTGGACCTGAGTTTCTCCCGACTGTCCGGCGTACAGCTTGCCTTCCCTAGGCGTTTCTTTTTAGACATATTTGCCCTTGTTAGCTTTTGAACGACGCTCTTCCATGTGAGAAGCTAGTTTTAGGGCATGAGGCCCGTTTCTGCTTTGAACTAAAAACTTAAAAATGTATTCTTTTTTAAGGAAGACTTTCTAGGTAACAATAAAAGGCTGGAGCATATACATTCCAGATCACTCCAAATGCACTTCTTTTCCAGTGGCATTTGGATTTTGAAGAGGTGGAGTGGGAGGGAGAGAAAAGGGGAGGGTAAAATTAGAACACATTTAACAAATTTGTGGGGGAATAATACTTTTTTTTTTATTGTTGCCTGAAATCACAAATTGTCAACAACTCCATCTCTGGGAATGTGCGAGGTCCTATGAGCTGAGTGAGGCACAGGGCGACCAATAGTTCATCTTACAGAAACAGAAGATACAGGCAAGGAAACATTTTCATCCTGTTTAGCACATGACATTTAATTTGGTAATAGGGACAATAGTCCCAGTGAACACAGGGGGGGACAGGTGACTGAACCGTCACATAGGATTGCTGCTCACCCCTCAGTTGTCTCTGCAGATGGCAACTGTATGTGCACGGTGCTGCAGAAACCTCCGGAATCTTTTCTTGTTACAGCTGTAAGAGCTTTGTTTCTCAGAGGAGACTCAGAACACATCCAGATTGGATTCCCAGTTGGGGGAGTTCCTTTTCAGCTTGTGTCTAGCCATCTCTGCAGTCAGTGTGCTGTTCCAGCTTGACGGGCACCGAAGATGGCATTAATTTCATGCTGTGCATCTCCTATAAAGCACACAAGACTTCACTCTCTTAGAAATGTACTATTTCAGGAGGTATGCTGTCTCTACTCTGATACATATCACACCAAAAAATTAAAACCTATGAAAAATAATGAGGGTTCTTTTATCAAAAAGACAGTGTGTCTGTGACAATGAAAACACAGTGTTCATTCTTCTAATGTTGTGGACACAGTTGATCAGTTAGTATATTGGAAATTAATCTATTGATTTAGACAAAAATCATTACTTCCTCCCAAGATAAATGCAGTAAATTCTTGCACTAAAAATTGTCTTTGTTGCAAAGAGGAGCATTTGGTTGTCTGGGGCGAGGAGGTGCCTGCTAGCTATTTTATGTTAAAAATGGCTCAGTGCTGACCTGTACATTTCAATTCAGGTAACCACTGTGCCCCATTCTCACTTACAATGTAGTTTGCATCTATCTACTCTATCTATCTACCTACCTATTATCTACCATCTGTTTATCTATCATGTGTCTATCTGGTATGGGTATTCAAAATGGACCAATGTCTCTAAAGGCAGAACTAATTTCTAGGACGTTCATTGTTTTTGGTTATTTTTCTAGGGAATTGCTGTCTTTAATGAAAAGGGAAGTTGATGTTTGTCACATCACAATTGCTAATGTTCTTTTGCAAGTTAAATTTACACATGCATGCATATTTAAGGATTAACTTTAAGTTATTTAATTGACTTCAAATTATGCCTTAGTTTTTATTTTATTATGTGGCTTACAAGTCTCTCTTCCTCAGGGTAAGAGTTCTTTAAAACGCTTGGAACAAATGTCCTCTCATTCTCACCTCCTTTGTTCTTAACAATGGTAAATTCAGGAAAGAAAGAGTTCTTTTAGCTCCCTCCTTAGTGCAGCCGAGTGTTTTCCTATAATTCAGAACCATCCAGAAGAAATGAAATGTGTGAGACACATGCATAATTTAAAACATCCGAGTAATCACATTAGAAAAGTAAAAACTCAACAGGTGAAATTGATTTCAGTAGAGTTGTTTAGTTCAATATATAAAATCTGGCCATTTGAAGATGTCATCAATACAAAATACTAATAAGATATTTTACAGTTGTTTTCATTCTGTCTTACACTCACAGAACATCTCAGTTTGGATTATCCATGTCTCAAGAGGTCGGTAGCCCCTGTGGCTGGTAGCTGTTGTATTGGCTGGCACAGCTATAGAATGTTAACCTGTCGACAAAACAGTTTGAAAGTTGAAATGTTAGGAATGATTACATTAACCAATTAAATGCTATCAAAAATAAGTTTACAAATCATCTCAAATTGCTATAAGACCTATGTCCTGTGTTTTCTTGCCATTAACTAGTTGTGCAGTCTGGGACCAAGCTTTATTTCATCACTAAAACAAGAGGATTGGATCAAATACTTCCCTGGTTCTGTGAAAAACAACCAGTAGGTGGACTTGTGGATTTAACCCACTCACAGCCTTGAGACCTACTGTGGCAGAGGCTCAGGCAGCAGGCCTAGTGGTGGGTGTCAGCGCTGTGCACTGGTACCAAGTGTGCATCTGGCTGTTTCCTGGTTCTGAACATCAGCAACTGAGTCCCTGTATCCCATGAAAGGATATTCAATTTTCATATTTAAAGTCCTTTACTGGACACATAGCAGCAAACTCATCATAGAATCAATGAACAGCTAGTGAGCTGGTGTTCACTACATGGTCAACTGTGCTTCAGAGACCTTTTTGTATCATATTTACTGGTGTGCAAATTTTCCATGTCTCTATCTATTTCAGTGCCATTAAAGCTGGTGAAACATAATGCTTTATAGTTGACTGACCCATGATTACTGACTTCTTAAACACAGAAGTGAATGACCACAGTGAAAAGGTGCCAGTTTCTTCATCCAGCCCTTGGACGGCCTCTGTGATCTGATGAGTGCGTGCTGGAGGGGCGGGTACCATTTCCATCACACAGGTGGTCTGCCTCAGAAATCCCGATAGGAGATGAGTAGAGCAGCATTTTGTATGAAAGGAGCTAGCGCACTGTTTGTCTAACGCTGATTAATGTCTGGAAAAGGATTGTTTTTCTGAGGAAATACGAGAACCCAGGAGCTTGCCATTGGGCTCTCCCACGGCCCTCTCCCTCTTCCAGTCTATCTCCCTCCTCTTCTCCCTCCTGACCTACCTCCTGAAGCTGGGCTCTGACTCACTGGAGCTTGGACAGAGGAGCCCTTGGGGAGGAGCTCTCCTTTATGTCATCTTCACATACCAGTGTTTTATTGGAGCATTTCTGTGACTTTTGAATTTGGAGTTTATTTCAGATGATTCGAAGCAAAGAGGAAAAATGATCAGTGTCCAGGCCTCCACATCCAGAGCAAACCCAGGAGTTCACTGTCACTTTAAATGCCAAGCTCAGTGGCATTTTCCTTTTTATATAAACTTGAACCTGTCATTTCAACTCCATCATCAACTTTACCCTTCTCCCCACCATGCACATACATGCATAAGATCCAAGGGTTACCTCCTTGCCTATGAAATAGTCCCCCGAGATTTGAAGAAAGGTGTCTGGAGAGTAGTCCTCTAGCACTGAAAAAAAGGACTGTGCTTCTCTTTTGAGTCCTCTGTTGGGTTCGTGGCCACAGAATGAAGGGCAGGGCCCCACACAACGGGGACACTGACATTGCTGTGTCATTAGGCCTGTATGCGTTTGCAACCAAGGGGTGGGGCTGGGGGTGGCTGGAATTGTTGGGTGAAGCAAAGGACTGGGTGACCCAGATTTTGAGAAGAACCTACATTTCTCAGTATATCATGGCAACCAAGTGTTTGTTTGATTATCCCAAATAGATTTACAGGTGACACTGCATCTCTTTGTTCTTCTGTTCCTTTAGTTGTTTAAATTTCTCTAAACATACCAACAATTTCAAGGTGCAGAAATAAATCAGGCTGGTGGAGCAAAGATTTGAACATAAAGAATGAAAATTTAAGTATAGAATTTTTAGTGATCTCAGAGTAGGGAGAATTTTCTAAGGATGATTCCAAACTGGGATATGAAAGAGGAAAAGTTTGTTAAATTTGACTACATAGGCATTTTAAATTTATGTCCAGTAAAAGTAAACAACAATCCAAGGATAAACTACAGTTGGGAGGAAATATTTGTAAATATTTCTGAGGAGACCTAATTTCCGTAATACAGTGGGTCTCAAATTTTGTGAGCATCCAGATCGTCTCAGGGCTTGTTAAACTTGAGATTGCTGAGCCCCAGAGACTTTGATTCAGTGGGGCCAGAGTATTTGTAGCAAAGTCCTAGGTGAGGGTGAGATTGCTAGTCTGTTGAGGCAGCTGCAAACGACAGTCTTAATGCAAGATAAATGCCATCATTGCAAATAGAAAACAGAGCAG